ATTGTGTGCCAAACTCTATTTAAAAATAGGTAAATGCAGTAACGCAGGTGACTGTTCAAGTTTTGTTTGCTTCGTTTCTGGATACTCTCTGGTTCAATGAACAGGGCGACGCAGCCAACGCAGTTGTAGACGCAGTATTCGCTGCCCAAATTAGAGTTAAAATTCATGCATTTTTTACACAGATGTACGATCCAGTTGTTAGCAAATATAACTGTTTTAATCCAATTAACAACAGGAAGTAACCTGAATCAAGATTTAGTTTATGTCCGTTATTCCATGTTAAAAAATTATCCCACTTTTCGAACGCGAAGCACTATCGCCATACTGCTTTTGATGCTGAAGGTCAGACCACAAGATCAATATATTGTATGGGCCGTTTTTCCTCTTTGTAAAAAAGGGGTTTCATCACACTGTCTGTCCGCGAGTTGTGTATTATTCTATGACAGTCTAGACTTTTTGTTTTGTAATGCGTCAGACAAACGTAATTTGCATACCAATCGCCGTTGACTGCCACAATGATATTTACAAGATTAGTCTGTCCACATATTTTTGTATTAAGTATATAACGGGTGGCTGTCTTCAATGCCATCTTAAGAGTGTACCTAAGGGTATCTCGTTCTCTGGTAACCACAACCATTTATTACATGGCTTCATATGATCAGCTGACAAATACAAGTGGACACAGAACAAAGGAAACAATAGATTACCTCACTTACTATTGTTTCCAACCCCAAGCTGTGAACTACTTAACATAACAATATACTCTCAATTAGGCTAAACAATATACCTTAAAAGTCTATGACATCATCCGTTGTCTTGAATAATTTTGCATGTAATTATAGTCACTGCAATGGGATAGACAGGAAATCTCTACTTGACCAGATTCTATTGTCTATTTCCGGCAATGCAGCACATAATATGAGTTCATATTTAAATTCAATTCTAATGAATTTAAGAAATTACCTATTTAAAGAAAACAGAGTTTCCTTCATTTGGTTTTGTATTTTAGAAAAAAAAATCATAGAAACTGTCCTACAAAAAAAAAAATCATCCATGGAAATCTCTTGAAATTGTGTACATGTTGAGTACTTATGAAGTTATTCCATATTATACATTGATAATGGTATGCTAATGCACTACTTTTTGAGAAAAAAATAGTTTAATTGTCAGTTTCAATATTCTTAGTGGCCATGTTGGATCATTTACGTGACCTTTGACCTTTGCCTTTGTCAATATACATATCGGTGTACATCAAATATGGTCATGTACATCCAACATCAGTAGATTATATTGTTTTATATATGAAGTACAGTTTATATATATTGGCTGGGTGCTTGGGAGAATATTCTTACCTTTCATTGGAAATATAAGAATTCAAAGTCAAGCCACTAATGCACTGAAGTATTATTTTCTTCTGAGGGATACTGATGAAAGCATTGTAATCTCAGTTAGTGCACAGGTGGGGAGGGGGGGGGGTGCTGTAACATACATACAAGACAGAGTATGACTAGTGTTACATACATGAAGTGACAAAAGGATCAGTATTGTTTAGTTGTAAGTAATATTTATTTTGTGTTCTGTTTTTTTTTAATATTCATATATCGATAAATAAATAAAAGTGGTCCATAAATACTAATATATTTAAATATTTCATCTATTTTAAAATCATATAACACTTGCTTTATCATTTTATTAAATACAATTGTATGTATTTATTTATTTTTAAATCTGGATATAAATACATATATAACCTTCATAACATATACAATAACCTTCAATGGACAAAAAAAGTGTTTTCTTTTCTGAAAATATGCCAACATTGCATGAATAATCCCATTTTCACCCTATGAGACATTTACATACCAAATATCAGTTTAGTGTTCTCAAAGATGTCATGGATGGATGGATTAGTGAACTAAAAAAATATCACAAGAGTCATTAATCATTGTTTTAAATATAGTTACTTCTTTTCAAAAAACTGCGATAGTGACAAGAATGTTTTTTATGTTTGGTTACCCGTGGATGACCAAAATAATCTTCACTAAGCAACTTCACCAATCCATCTATCCCTCCTCTGCTATAAGCCAAGTTCAAGTGACAAAAAGCCAGACCAGAAGCAGCTATTTTCTCAGCCATACACTTTGTAATTACCTTCTTACTTATTAGTTGACTAAGAGAAGACAGATTTTTCTTTTTACACAATAGAAATTCAAGGGCTTCTATAATAAAATCAACAGAGAAGCTATGTTTACTAATATGGCTGATGTCAACATTACATTTACCAATCAATTGTTGAAGCATATGTACATCATGTTTTGCATTGTGAGCACTGTATTCAGTGTGTAAATAATCATTAACCAGGTTTTCTTCAGAGTAAGATGATCGAGGTGGTAAAATTTCACGAAATACAGAGAGCGTATCAGAAAAGCAGCAATGTTTATGTTTCAGTTTGTCTAAAAGACCATATCTTTGCAAAGAACTAACCAGAATCCTAGCATCAAAATTATTACAGTTATGTGCAACTAACACAGAATTTAATGGAATCCATTCTATAAAACTCTCAAGAGCATCTTTCTGTGATAATGTTGGTACTAAATTAAAGTTATGAAACAGTTTACCACATGTATATGTCAACCCAGTTACTTTGGATGCTGCTGGATGTATTGGTTAACAGGGGTCAACATACTCATCAAATATTTTACCATCATAAGATGCAGCAATCTGACAAATTGAGGAATCAATACCAAATGATGTTGTTTCAAGATCAAATACAACAACAGGAGAATCTTGAAGTATTTTTACTGGAAAATTTACAGGAGCATTAACTGGTTCAGGAATACATGTAATATAAATGTCATTTCTAATTGCAAAGTTTGTGTTGTATGTGTCACCTTCTCTTAACTCAGTAGCATTACATTTTTTGTTTCGCTCCTTTTTTAATTGTATACGTCTAAGTTTGTATTTTTTGTTTTCTGTCTGCATCTTTCTTTTTCTTGCTTTATTGTCTAGTTTTATTCCCCTCACCTGTGAAACAATTCCAGGAGATAGTTCATTTTCTTTGTTTAAACTACAAACATATGTGTATCCACTATTTTTCTGTGAAACTGCTGCTGCAATGCAGAGATATTTAAACTTTCTGATTTACTGTAATGTCTGTTTTTTGGTGCAACAGTGATGAAAGCTTTCATTGGCTTGTGTTGAACTCATAA